AACTACACCAGGTTTGAAACTTGCGAGACTGAAAAAAATTAAATAAAGTATGATTTGTCTGGTTGAGTGCGTTGAGTTTAGTCAAACAATTTATTTATTTTTTTTATTTTTTTTCTTGTCGTATTTTGTTTTGTTTTTAGAATATTCTTCTGCACACCTGCTATAAAAATTCTTTTAAGTGAGTTACACATACCAAAAGGTTTTAAAAACGCTATGTATCTTATTTTGTGCCTACATATTTTTATTTTTCGTTCAATTTTTAGTATTTTTTTGTTATATTTTTGTTATTATTAATATTAACAAATTTTATTAATGGTACAAAAAACAACAGGTAATGGATTTAATAAAGCATTGACATTTTTTAAAATTGTTTATAGGTGCGGGAAAAGAGAAAAATGCAAAATATGAGCAAGAAATCGCATCAAAAGTTCTTTAGGCGTATTTAACTAAAACATAATATAATACTTTTAAATTGTTTTATGTACTATTATTATTGTTTATTAATTCCAAAAAGTATGTTCAAAATATGTTTCTTTGTTCTTGGAAAAATTTGTTGAAGTTCTCATAAGTACAGTATGATCTCGATTAATGCAAACCCCGAATATCGCAACTCCTCGGTTATTGCAACCTCATAAACTTTTCCTGTATTACCTTTGATATTGTAACTTTAAAAATTGACTACCGCGAAAAATGTAACTCTTGCTAATTATTTTCCTCTCTTGCATTCTTAGTATTTTATTTGTCACTTACATGGAAAAAAGTTCCATCACATGTTATTCAAAAAACTGTTCAAACCTTAAAATTAAATAATGGTCAGTGGACTGATGACGACAACATACCGTTGCATCAAATAAAAGCTAATATTATTAAAGATAAAATTTCAAAAATTCACTTCATGAAATTATTCCTGATAATATTATTTCTTAACAAAAAATGGATGAGTGGATCACCGAATTTTCTATGGAAAATGTGTCTCTTGGTAAACAATTTAACATCGATTCAGACTCGGAAACTGAGGACAGTGTAATAATTACAAGTTAAATCAAAAATAACGTGGCAATAAATGCTGAGGAAAATTCCATACCTCTTACAAAAGTTGTAATAATTAAAGATCTAAAAAATGAGGCAGTTGAAATGAATCATATTTGGCAGGACCCGAGTTCGATTCCTGGTACTTGCAGTCTCAAAAATAATTATTTACGAATAATTAAATATAAGAATTATTTCCAAGACCACTGATGATGGGTATTTGGCAATACTCGAAACAGCTGTATGGTCAGCCAAAAATTCAATTAATTAAAATAATTTAAAAAAATAAATTTTTGTTGTTGTTTCACTTTTGTTCGAAAAACCTCTTTATGTAAATATAACAAGTTTCTATTAAAAATATAATAGTCACTTCCGTCTGGAAAATTTGACGTTTAAATTACAACTTATTCACAAAAATATGCTTCTCGCCAATAAATATTGGTTCTCGCCCGTGCGACTAGTGGAGTAACATTAGCATGACTTTCTCAGCATTACGTTCCTAGATTAGGTTCTATACATAAGAAAGAACAAATCATGCAACAAATAATGCCTCTACGAATAGAATAGTTTTGAAATTTAACAATTAAAAAAATAAAAAATATAATTAATTAATTAATTCAATTATTCTACAGCTGGTTTATGATTTCGTTCTAATATATAAATACAACAAGTAAAATTGTTAATAAAAACTTTCATAGCAAAAGTAACAAAAACTCCAGCAAAAATATGCGAACATAAAAAAAAAAGTCAAATACGGCTTTGGATCAGTTGGTTAAGGTGCGCTGATTCTGAGCTTCATATTTGGCAGGACCCGAGTAGGATTCCTGGTACTTGCAGTCTCAAAAATAATTACTTACGAATAATTAAATATAAGAATTATTTCCAAGACCACTGATGATGGGTATTTGGCAATACTCGAAACAGCTGTATGGTCAGCCAAAAATTCAATTAATTAAAATAATTTAAAAAAATAAAAATTCTTGTTGTTGTTTCACTTCTGTTCGAAAAACCTCTTTATGAATTTTAATTGCAAAAAAAAGTAAGCTGAAATAACAAGTTATTATTTTAAAGTAGTAAGTAATCATATTATTTTCTAATAAACTTTGTGTTAATGCCTCTTAGTTTGACTAAAAAAGTTTAAATACACTAAACAAACTAAACTCCATTATTACAACCACCTCGATTATTGGAACACCTTCGAATTCTATTAGTTACATTAATCGAGGTCATACTGTATATATGTATACACATTATGTAATCTAAAATCAATGAAAATTTCGTAAGTGTGACTTTTTGTGTTGAGTCAAGTCTTTCTTATGTATGGGTTGCGCTGTCACTTAAGGATGTGTCAACTCTAAGGCACTGTAATGCTAAATTTGTGATTGTCAAGCGAATGAGCAAGGTCTATCTTAGTGTGTTTGACAATTTTTTGTGTATAAAAATGTCGTATAAGAGAGTTCAACTGCAGCAAAGTACTTCAAAACAATAAAGTTAGCCTGAGGCAACGAAGTTATGTCAAAAAGATGTATTTATGAATGCTAAAAGTAGAGTTACTATCGGTTATATAAACTGATGCAATGAGTGACATCAAAATTTGTTGCTTATCCAACAGATTGTGTTGAAACATAATATAGGGTGTTTTTTTAGCTGCATGAGAACTGTCGATAATGATAACTATCGTTTGACAGCTGAAAATGTCAAACTGTGTTGACATTTTGTTCCGTTAGGTATGTCAATTCATCATAAATCGTTTAACACTAGAATAACGTTTCCAAATTGTGGAAATTTACTTTGAACAAAATAAATCTGTTCGCAAAGTTTTTACAGCACTTTGTCGATTTCACGGTCAACATGATCGGCTCGTTTTCGCACTAATTGTCAGGAAAAGGAAATGTGCGTGCCGAAGACGGGGGCATCCTCGGTCCTTATTTCTTTCGAAATAAGGAATCAGCTAGGAGCTGCCATTATGGTGAATGGCGAATGTTATCAAGCTATGCTGACTGAATTTTTGTAAACAATTTTCAAAAATTATTTAGTTAAATATCGACGTTGACGACATTTGAATCCAACAAGACGCCGTCTTCCAACTTACCATACTGCGTGCTTAACAATCAATTTATTGTAACTGTTACTGTAACTGCCCCACTGTCCGCACTGGTTTGTGCGATTTAACGCCTGTCGATTACTTTTTATGAGGCTATGTTAAATCATTGGCTTATGCCGACTTATGCCGACAAACCAGCAACTCGCAGCATTGGAAGCCAATGTGGCGATGTTCATACCACTATTGACACCATGCGGTCATATTTATTGCAATAAATAGTCAAATATTGAACTGATCGAATGAATCATGTAACTAGTAGCCGCAGTGGATATTTCCCGGAAATCATATTCCAAAAATATATGCCATGAAATTATGTACCAGATTATAATAAAAAAGATTTCTTTCCAATAATATTTATGTCTTGTGTTACCATATTAAGTTATCATGTAGCTAAAAAAAACACCCTATACAACTGTTATGCTACAGCCAGTATATTCTCCAAAACATGGATTGGACCGCACCTCGCGGTTTTTTATACAGTCAGCGACAAAACTCTACATACACCCTCCATTTTTGCTAGCTCGTAAATCCAAGGACATAATAGAAAAAAGTAATGATACAGTTTTGTTTAGAACTGTTATTTAATAATAATAAACAAAAGAAAATTCATTCATCAATATAAATTAACAAAGTTATTCGAAAAAATCTAAAAAAATCATTGACAAAAGTCTACATACACTTCATTGATTGTTAGATATAGTCGACAGTAATTTAAATGTTAAACGGGAAAGTACCGTTTTTCATATTTCATGCTTGTGGCATGAGTCATACATTTATATAATGCACTTAGTTGTGCTTTGAGAGTGGTATTTAATTGACACGATGGGTCCACGAAAAGAATTTCAAGTGATATGCGAAATCTGGTTATTAAGCATAGAAATGAAAAAAAACCTTATGGTAAAAATATCAAAACTAGTAAATTTGACTCGATCAACAGTTCAGACGATAATAAAAAATTATAAAAATAGCGGTTCTATTGAAAATAAGCCTCGCAGTGGCCGCCCAGGGATACTCATACGTAGGGATGTCAGCTTGGTTTTAAAAGAAGTTAACAAAAATCCGAAAGTAAGTGCCTTAAAATTAGTCGAACACATTGCTAGTGCAACTGGAAAGCATGTCAATCCATAGAGTTTTGTCGCTGACTGTATATTCCTAAATCAAAAATTTGGAAAACAACTTAATTTAACAGTGTATAAAATACAGTCAAACTCGCAGAGTGACCTAAAGTGCCGTTTATCACTCCTGCTGGTAATGTGATAAGAAAGAAGCTTTCTATAATCCGTTACCATTATATTTAAAACTTGCAATAGTCAATAGTTTTTAAATTTTCTATTGATAAAACTATTTATATGTTATTTACTTATTAAATTACTAATTTCGAATAATTTTCTTGACAGAATAAAATTTTTAAAATTTAAATATATGTAATTGTAATATATTTCTTTTATTCCTGCGCCAATTCTTTACAAACTCAAGACAATTTTTGTTATCTATTCTTTAAATACTAATGGTCTTAATAAAAAACATAATATTCTTTATTATTATTTTCTTAATATAAACAAAATTATTACAAATCTTGCTTATTGAATATAAGAAAATTGAAAATTTTTGATAGTAAATTTCATTTTTATGAATTCACTAATTAACTACAATAATTTTGCAGCTCATAAATTGTTTCTAAATTAAATTAAATTAAATCAAGCTTTAATAAGTTTTCTGTCACCAGCAACTCCATTTTTATATTATACGTCAATTGTAATTATTAATATTAGTATAATTTGTTTATTTAGTTTTTACTATATTAACATTTTTTCTATTATTTAATTGTTTAAATATATAATAAAATTTTTTGTTTCTATTTTTTCAGTATCTACGAAAACAATATGATTTCGAGTATATAAAGGTAATCTACTTTTTTTTTTATAAAATAATTCATTTCAGATTAAGCGATATATTTTGTAAGCATATTGCAATAAGACTGCCGTTTATTTCAAGAAGTACATACGAATCAAGATTATTAGCTTATTTAACCAATTAATTATAAGATACACAGCTCACAAGATAGAGTTGCCAAAAGTATGAACTTGTCTAATATGATTGATTTTGGAAATATATGCAGAATTTCCAGTCAGATGTGGTTTTTTGAAACTCAAAAGATTACGACTGTTAATACTTTTTCAAGTGGTCATCAGTAACTTGAAATTGAAGAGTATTTGGAAATTTGTTTTGTTTTTTTATAAAAATTAATTGTGATAGTCTTATATATATATATCAATTTGTCAATTCTTAAACTTGTAAGTTTCTCAAAAATAAAGTTTCTGTTAAGTTTATTTCTGATTTTATTAAAAAAAAATTTATATAAAATAATAAAAATTCTTTTTTTTGGTATAAGTTACCTTTTTTCTTAATGATATATTTATAATTTAAGTATTTTATTTTGAAGTAAAGAACATTTAAATTCCAATAAAAAATTATAATGTCTCTCCTAGGACACATCCCATATATCTTACTTTACTTGTACTTACAGTATGCCGTCAAGTACATTATAATCAAAACAAAAAATTAATATATAATCCCTTTTAAAGTAAGTGCTTACTGATATTTATTTTCTTACATTAATAGAAATTTTTTATTTTTTTACATTAATAGACATTTTAATTCCAACTATAATAAGTTATGTCGAACTAAATCGCTTTTTCAGATCGGCACAGCGTCTACTTACAATAACATATCTTAAGAGTTTAATTTAGAAGTTTTGCCATATAGACCTGCACACTTCTAGAATGTTGCAGATGTCTACCAACAATACGTGTCATCATCTTATAGATCACCTCAATGTTATTCTGTAATAAAAAAGTAATACGAATTTATAAAAAAAACAATAGATTTGTGTTGTTTTTATTTAAAATTTTCCAAAATATCGATATTGAGGACCATTAAAAAAAAAATTTTATTGTTATAAGAGACAGTATTGTACAAATAGAATATTTAGTATATATAAGAAACTTTTGTCATATTTTTGAAATTATTTGATATGTTGAAAGTTAATTGCAAAATAAAAAAAGTCTTTTTAAAATACATTATATAGTAAATAATACTATAAATTTACTTACAATGTCTTTAGTATGATTTGCATTTTTAACAACTACTGATGAGAATCCTTTTCTTGCATTACAATAAACGTTTATAAGCCATCATAATAAAGATACATGTAAATATTAAAGATAATTAGATATTTGTTGTCAATGAAAATCGAAACTTGTATGTATGTTCGAAAATATGTTCGAAAATATGTTCGAAAATATGTAATGTATGTTGATTTCGCAAACATCTACAATGATCATAACCCAGAAAGAAAATATAGAAAAACTGGAAGTTAATAATACTCTTATGTGTTAAAAATTTTAACAAACCTTTATTGGCTCAATGTATTCCTTACAGTGACGTCAACGACTTCAATATAGACTTTATTTCCTATACTCCAACCAGAACTGATGCGGAGAACTGTTAAGCAGTAGACCGACGTAAAAAATTAAAGTTTCTTGTATTAACGTATGAATACTCCTGTTTAGTTGATTAATAGGCCTTGATTACCTAACCTAGTTTATGATCGGAAATAAGAACTTGTTATTCTGTGCAATATGTGAGAAAATAAATTTAGTTTGAGTTTTAAAAAAAGCAATTGTGTTTTCTCCTTTAAATAGAGTGTGAAATTAAAAGTTGTTTAAATTATTTTAATTTCTTGTTCTTTCTTTTAATTTTTTTAGTCTAATATTTAATAGTATATGTTTAAAATATGCATATATTTAATATTATATATTTTAATGTTGCTTGCACATATATATATATATATATATATATATTATTTGCTAACAAGCATCTGTTTATTAGTTATGGAATCAGAACCGTCAATACTTTGACCTAAAGCCCACAAATATACTTCTCTATGTAAAGTTTCATTATTTATTTCAGTTAAAAATGGAGATATGCGACTCAAGTTTTGTAGTATTTTTACATAAGCAATTGATTGTGTTGTTCTTTTATATACAAATAAATTAAATTTTAAAAAATAATGATAATTTTTTTTTTTAGCAAATAGAAGTTTTTGCTTTTTAATAGACTTAATTAACATTAATAAAAACCAATTAAGAGTGACATTCATTTGCAGTGTTTATTTTATTTTGATGAAAACATTTCACTTACGTTACATCACGTACAATATTATATTTGTGTATAAAAATATTTAATTTACTTATGCTATTTCCTCAATTATTTATTATTTAACTTCGATATATCCCAGTTATGATTATATGGTGACTGCGTGTGTCAGATAAAATGGTTTGTATTCCTATTTAATTTTAAGGTCTACAAAAAAAACATCTCCATCTAATGTAGTAAATTTCAAAATTGTTTTATAACACAAATGCTATGTTACCGAACAATAAACATAATAAGTAACCCACCACTGGGTTCATTATAATCATCCAAATAAACTTTGTTACTTAGCTACAAATATAAAAAGAAACAAACTACTTGATTCACAAAAATAATCATCATTTAAGAGTCATTACTAAAAGATTAATCCTAAATATTTTTTTTCTTTTATGGATATTTATATTTCTTGCAAGTAATGTATACTACATCAACTTAATATAGTCTTTAGATTTTTATTTATCTATTTTATTGTTTTTCATAATTTTAAAGGCTCATTATGTTTTTAAGTATTCTCCAAGCTGCCTTAGAAGTTGAATACAGAAGATTATTTAATATTACTAAAATAAACTCTAAAATATATGCAGTCGTCCTCGTGAAAAATATTTTAAAATATATTCATAAATAATATTAACTTTCTTCTTCTCACGGTTTTAAGATGTTGTATATAGTTCGTTTACTTACACTTCTATCTATTCTTCACATTCTAAATACTTTCTAAAAAATGTTATAATGTTAACATACGTTTTTTAGCTTTAAAATGTTTATATTTAGTTTTATTTTACAAATAACTTTAAATATATTTTAAACAATTGACTAAAACTGAATCAAATTGTTTTTTATTTACACATTTTATATGCAATATTAATATCTATACACATGGATATCTTCAAACCACTTTTTTTTTTGTTTTTGACAAATACTTGTAATTTCCTAAGGCATTTATGTACATTTTTTTAAACGTTTATGTCTATCTCATAAAATTTTTCATAATTAAAAGCTAAATTTGCATAAAAAAATGTCTCCAAACCCTCACATTAGCCGTCGTTTAAAGTCAATTTCCAACGGATTTAAATATTAATTCAATTTACTATGAGTTTTCAGTGACTTTAAGTCACATTAAATAATTTAAAAGATACGTTCAAGTAATAATAAAAGTAATATAAGTTTTAAATTTGCATATTTACTTGAGGCTTAAATTTAAATTTTTTTCATTTCATTTATTTTTGATATTTTAGTGACGGTAAATATTTGTTGACAATTTACAATTGCGGACTTCGGTTATACGAATATTTTTCTTTCTCTCATATTGTCAACTTGTTGACTTAAAGTCAAGAAACTTTCACTTTCACTCGTTCATTTATAAATTGTATTAAACGTGCTTTAAGTATTACAAAAAGTAAAAAATATGTGTGGAAAAATTGAGGTATATTATCTAGTCGATAGTATTAAATAAAAGTCATGTTTCTGCTTGCACACAAAAATTATTAAGTATATTTTAGTGAAAACGTTGCCCAAAAATTAATGAATGAACTAAAGCTGGATACAAAATATATATTTTTTGAAATAATCTACTAAAGAGATACGAAAATTCTGACGGTTTCCAAACAGGGTTTAGTAGTAAGTCCATTTGTTTTCTTCGCCTTATGTATGTACATAAGTGAGGTACTTTCATATAGTAGCTGGATGGCATTGGTTGATTTGTCCACGAATTCCAATTAAATGTAAAGGAGATGTTCAGTAACGTGTTCGCATTTTTCATAAAAGTATCACGAATTTACACTATATCGTCTACCACAATTATTCAGTAAAAAACTGGTTGTAAATAAATTTACTTCTTAGCAATGGAATCACATGTTCTATAGACTTTGAAGTTATTATTATATTTTCAATGCTGTTACTGCTGAAATAATTTCAAAAACTATTACTACTTTTGAAATTAACTCTTGAAGATTTTAAAACGAAGCTGTTATACGCTGCAATTATCTTCAAAAGTAACTGGTTATATTTTTAGAAGTTACATATCTGGTTATATTGTTATATTTAATGGTCCACCGTTGAGTTGCACATACCAGTTATTTTATAATTTCGAACCAACTGATATATATTTTTGTAGCTAGCATGTTTGCATATTTAGAGGTATGAAAGTAAGATATATTGGCATATTTGTATCGAAATGAACTGTTATACGTTATCACTGTTGTTAACAATATCGTTGCATGGTTAGAGGTAACAGGTGATATATATTGCTACATTTAATAAAGTTTCATTGACTTGGTTATATTACTATAACTTTTAGATTTTCAAATCTAAATGGACTGTTATATATATATTTTGATGTACAAAATATTGCCGCATATAAAGAGGAAATGAAGTGATATGTTGTTGCATTTAATTAAATCCAATTAAGTTGCTCATTTTAATATAACCAAATTGACTGTTAAATTATTCCAAATTTACTGTCTTAAATTTCCATTGCTATAACGAAGATGGATGTGTTGTTGCATTAAAATCCAAATAAACTGTTATACGTTTTCATTGGTGTTATAGGTGACACTTAAAGATATTTTGAAATATTTAATTTGAAATAAACTGTTATACGTTTTCATAGGCGTTACAATATATTCCGATGTTTACAGGTAAAGATATAGATATTTTAGTACACTGAATGAATTTCAACTGTTGACTACT